AATCCAGCTCCAACAAGGGAACAGAATCCCACGACACCGACAACAACACCAGCGGCAATGGCAGCAGTGTTCGGGCCACCCGAGTTCTTTTGCTGGTTGAGTCCGTTTGTCGCGCCCGCCTCGTTGGCTGCTGCTGTGACGACTACTGTCTGCTCCCCTTGCGTGACGACTTGGCCGTGACTGCCAGTAGTCACAGTGGACCCGCCGTTGGTCGTTGATGTCGAGCTTGGGTTGGTGCTGGCAGAGGAATCATCCGAGTAGTACGGAACCTTGGAACTTAGACCAGTCAGGTAGACGGAGAATGAAGATTGACCACCACCTGTTAAATCATCAAGTTAGCACGGCAACGGAACCAGCAAAGTTATAGAGAAGACCATACACATGACATCAGGCCAACCAGCGCATTTGACGTTACAATTGGAATCGTCCGTCTTAGCCGACTTCGCGGGCAGCACATTTCCACAGAGACAGTTCGTTCCCTTCGTCAAGGCAAAGACAAGATTGTTGCTCTTCAAGCATTGTTGCTGACAGTAGCCGTTACTCTGATACATATAGGGGCCTTGGTCTACCAAGGGTGTGGAGTCACTGAAACAACCCTCGCTTACCATATCGGCGGCGAAGGCTGCTGGAAGGTTGGTAGTGAGGAGCAGCGCCGAGGCTGTAACAGCAGATCGGATTGTGAATGGCTTCATTCTGTGTTTGGTATATGTGACTGTAATATCAAAAAGCGAGAGTTGAGGCGTTAAGCGGTTGATGATGTTTGCTGAGAAACGAGAGACAAGGGACGACCAGCGTAACCCTTGGATATTATGTTGTGATGTTGTCTTCAATCTACTCCCCGTTTATCCTTCCTGAGTAGCGAGCGGTAGGAACAGTAACGAGAAACAGTCGTCGCGATTCCTCGACGGTCGGACCCAGCTTAGACAATTGATATGGCGAGTCGACGGGCGTGAGATGCCAGAGAGCGACGAAAGAGCTATAGTTGAGGTAAAGTTGAAGCGAAGAGGGTGATATCGATGAAAAAGCCTGCGTTGATCCTTCTGGAGAAGAGGATCCCTTGGCGGGGAAGAAGTTGAGGACCGGTTGTTTCACAAACCCCTTTTGTCGGGAAGCTGAAATGAGCAATGGGAACGGGGCTAATCGCTCGCACCACGGCGTGACCAGTCAGGCAACCACCACCTCCTTCACGTCAATAAGAGAAAATTGGGTCAGAGATAGAACAAAGAAAAGCGAGGCGTCGAGGAAGAAAATTAACAAGAAGGACCTCGACAGAGAATACAAAAAGGTTGGTTAATGAAGTCGAACCCTTCCAACCTACGATAGAAACGAGTGGAAATTTAGTGGAGGGAAAGAACTATTATGGAAGGGGTGACAACGGAGGAAGAGGACAAGCAGTAGGAGAAGGGTCTAGAGAAAGACGGAAGACAGACAAGACTTGAATGAGTGACTGACCGACCGTGACTGATATTGTGAGAGGGACAGATTATTGAATGGAGGCAGTGGAGGGATTATTGGCTTAAGCGATAACCTCCAGGTTCCGATTATTATTATTAGGAGGGACTAGCCTAAGGTACAGAGTACTCCGTACAGCGTAAGGTAAACAATGCGACCTCTCCCACACATAAAGGTAAGGTAGGGATCGGAAAGCATACGCGGTACGCCATTTTCCGTGTCTGAGGAGGAACAGTGTCCAAACGGGCCCTGACCCTGGTTCGCCTCTGACGGTAATCTTACATCCCGCGTAAAGAACTCCACCCATGATTCTATCCAATGAAATGAATTACCTTTGTTTATATAAGCGCATTTGCCGTGCTTATGACCAGGGGCACAGTAGGTCGTTTCCCTCTTTGGCTACCTGGCTGAAAAATGGGAGCCATTGTGGTACAGACTAAGCCTGACATGGTAAAGGTGTGCATTAGCTTGCTGAACTGTGGTGGCTTTGGTTTTCTGTTTCATTAATTTGGAAGAGGGGCTGATGCTGTACAGAGTAAGGCAGGTACGTAAGGTATTGAGTACTTAAAGTTATGAATTGCCTGAAGTGCTAAGTAAGGTACCTGCAATGTAAGGTACGCAGGCGTGGTGAAGGCACAACGTCGTTCCTATATAGGTACCCCGGTAGCACCTAGTCTTCCTTATCGTAAAGGAATCAAGCTCCACGACCGAGGGGGAATAGGTGCAGTTGACGAGAGGATACAAGAGATCTTCAGATACAGAATACCCAGGCAAAGTTTATGCAAGTCCGTCTTGTGGGATAACCAGAGTTGAAGGACCTGTGGTCTGCAGTATTCACAAGCCATGTACCTTTCCCTCTATTGGCCTCAAAGCCAAGGTAGGTTTTCATTGTCGCATGGTCGAACTATCCTTACGAAACAAAGCAAAGGAATAACCTGTGATCCACTCCCTGACATACAGAGCGTCCTGCTGCCCTTGTAGCATCATTCAACTCTTTCCCCAAGTTGGAATCGAGTTCATCCGAGCATCTACCAACAAACTATCTGCCTACTTCCGCGCGGTCTCTCTTGTTATTTGTTGCTGTAGATAGATGCTCTGTATCTAACTCTCTATTCCCGACAAGCCATCGTCAGCCACATTGCAATGACAAGGACGCGGCGTTGTCGATCCCTCTTTCGGCTAAGCGCTCCAATGAATCACACACATGCGATTCCTTATTCCGCACCCTCCGATAACGCGGACCAATAGGTGTCACATAATACTCCATAATGATCACAACCAATATGGTTCAACATAGCGAATGTTCCTCTCTTACCATCGAACTCGTGGAATACTCTCCAAACTCACCACACCCTTCCATGAGTTCCAAGGCTCCAAGCGGGCACTCCCGGGCTGTGTGGGTCTGAACCCCTTCATGGCTTTTGCAGGTTACGCGGATCTCTGGAACCCGTAAAGAAACTGTAAGGTTCACCACTCACGTTTGGGTGCCTTACTGAGGTAACACACATCGAAATTCACAGCAATAATACCTCGATCGCTCATCCTCTTATCGACAAGGCTCGGAAGGTCCGCCAATGGCGGAGACTGATTCTCATGTGAGCTATGATGATGAACTCGGTTCAGTGCCCAACGGGTGTCATTTACTCCGTAGGTCGAAGATAATAGTTCATGCATTCGCCACTTACGTTGTCCGACAGTCAGGCATCTCGACGGAGATCAACAAGAAAAAGTTTTATGCATTTTTGCTAAATAAGAGAAGGATGTAGGCCGAGAAAAGTAGCCCGTTGTATGTCACCAGCTTGAACTTGATATTATTGTGATGGGAGCAGGAGACTGTCCCTGACTCCTGACTCTTCGTAGCCAGTACGGAGTAGACCCTCAGATCATGTTCGTCTGAGATATGACAGTGGGAAATGTAGTTACGTTTGCACCGCTGCACCCCTTCATTTGGGAGTTCTGGAAACCCATGGTCCTCATTGCGAACAGTCGACATTCTCGTGAATTTGGAAGACTGCTAAACTATAATGACAATTCTTTGCAATGAAATGACGTGGCATATGTGCCGAGGAATAACGCCTTTGTAGGACGTTATGGAAGAACTAGCCATTCCAGAAAATGAGACGAATGTTATGGAGACATTGAGTAGTGGTGGCCCTGAAGACACGGACTCACCACTCATTCAGTCGTGAATATCCGCCATTCAATCAGACTGGCTGCAAGAACTTGACGCGATTAGTGCAACTGGATAGTTTCGAATAGGCTGGGTTCATGGTCAAGAGACGGCAGATTTAAATATACTTCTGTCAGAGCCTCATATCAACAGATCTCGCAAGTACGAATGCTTCCCCGGAACTATCAACTCGCACTAATACCGAGTATAAATAGATCAGTGCTCACTTTCCGAGAACCTGGTCGTGTGCTGTGCTTTTTATGACCACACTATCCTAACACCACCATACCCTGAGCCCAGGACAAGATTCAATACAACAAAGGGATACACCAGTATTTCACATTCACCTCAACTCGTGAAAACTACCGTATGATGGAATACCTAGACGGAACGACCGGAAGCTGGATGGATATGTAGACTTGTCCCGGACTGCCGACAGAGTTATAAAGCCCTCAGGCAGGTCTAGAACCTGTCTATTGACCCACAGCACAACAGGCAGGCTTCCATCCAGTCCAATTTGTCTTACATCGGTGATCTATCGACTTATCGAGTTCACTGTGACTGTCTAGAACTTTTGGAGTTACGCTGAAGCTAAGTCTGGGAAAAAGTAAGCTGTGTTGCCTCACTGCACGGCTTGACATGTAGAAATCTCGCTGGCATCACAGACCTGAACTTGGGACCTTGCGCCAATTGGGGCCTCTGGGTTATGTTTGCCTGTGTACTCAGTCGTCAACCTTGTCTTTAACTTGAAAGTTTGACTGGAGATTTGGACAATTGATGGGGATTATTCTCAGTATTGCATTCCATGTTGATTAATAGACTTAAGGCTTAAGGGCTAGCTAGGCTCTCTATCCATTTTGACACCTGGATGATTAGCCTGATGTAGCGAGTATTAGACTTGAGGATTTCCGTTGCATGCTATGGCATAAGCCACAGATATTCATCGTGCTGTGGGATGTTGTAGCCCCAGCGCAGCCGGGTGTATATACATCGCTATCTGTATTAAGACTATGGCCTCACTGTCATCCATCTCAGTTTCACAAGAAATGCAGTATTTTGACAGATGTTCAATATGAATTTTCAATGATGGATGTATCTAACAAGGTAAGGAATTGCTTGGTAAAGGTTCATTTGATGCGCTGGAGCCGGGATTTCTACCAGATGTTTCGGCGAAGCTCGACAATAGCTCAACCGGTACATAGGAAGGCAGCAGAGGTATACAAATCATATGCACAATCAAACGTAAACTTTTCAAAATCGTATTCAACGATGTTTCACATCCTCTCCGGTATATATGTTCGTAGAAAGATCTTTCTATCACGATAATTAAATCTTGAGCAGTCAAGCCTGGACTCGCCTGTACAGATTATCAACGCTTCTAGGGCTTGGGAATCTTTATCGACTTGCTGACCATCAGGCAGCCGTGCAAGACAAACAACAGAATGACGGGGTGAAACTCAAATGGCGTGCCTTGAGCGGCGATTCCAAGAGGAAGATCCTCGAGAATCCAACCTTGAGATACCCAGTACGCCATGAGCGAAGCGATGCTCAATGTTGTCGGGATCGGTGTGCCTTCAAAGTACTTGGACTTGCCGGTCTTATCCTTGGGAAGCACGGCGACGGTAACGTTGAATCGGGCCAACCGTGTTAAGCCACAAAGGACGAAGAATGCCAACAGAAGATGGTCGACGAGGGTGCGGGCTCCAAGAGCGAATGCGCATGCGGCTGGTGCAAGGCCGAAGGAGATCTAGAGTGCAAAGATAGGGGTCAGCTGCGTCCCGCTGCCCTTGGGGAGTACGAAGATGCCATACCAAGTCCGCCAGAGAATCAAGCTCCTGTCCCATGAGGGACGATTTCTTCCTCCATCTCGCGATTTTGCCATCCATAAAATCGAAGAATAAACCAAAGGGCATGAAACCGAGAGCGGCCCAAATAGCACCGTGATCATGTGGGTCTCCTAGACAATATCGCATCGACGAGAATACGGACATGACTATTGAGAATCTAGTCAGTGTCGGTTCACAATTTCGATTTCAATTAGATTGCGGTCTTGCCTCCACAGAATCCTATCAAGCATGGTCAGTATAATGGATGAATGACGTTTTTCTAACAGATCTTACCATTCAGCTCGGTCACCAAATCAGCAAGATGCAACGCCCTGCACGAAATTTGAATGAGCAATGTATCTTGGTTCCCACCAGGCACTCAGATGCTAACCTGACCAAGCTAAAGTGACCCGTCTCCGACGAGAGGAGCATCTTCTGCTTTTCCTGACCTGCAATCAATGGGTGAGCATGTTGCGGTACAATTGCATCGTTGGTGATTCGAACTCACCTCCGTCGCCTGAAGCTGCGACACCGCTATTTGAAGACCGACTTGACGACATGGCTGCTGTTCGACGAGACATGCTCAATCCGTATCAACCAGAGTAGACGATATATGACGGAAAATTTTACTAAAATGCAGGTTTCAGAGCGATCTGAAGGCTCTTGTAGGAAAGTAGCAGGTTGAAAAAGGTCGAGGATTCCAGTGTTGACAAACGCACAGATTCTCCGGTTCCAGGGCGGCCCAGACGTCATTGGAAAGGCGGTGCAAAGCTGCGCCACACGATCAAGCCACTTGCTCAGGGAAAATTTCCAGCTTTAACATTCGATGATGCTACAGGCTGGTTAACCTCGATTTGAAGGGTAATGGACGTTGTTACAAGCGGACGAAAGTTGGACACGGACTGTGTACTTTACAACATCGCAGAAACTGAAGCAGCAAACTTTCATATGCATAATAAAATATCTCGAAAAAAAAGGTTCCTGAAAGAGCTCCCGTTTTCCCATAACGCCATAATAAGACAGTACTAGTCAAGACAAACTGTCTATCGTCGGAAACCTCCACTTCCACCACGAGGTCCTCCTCTACCACCACCTCTGCTCCCACCACGGAAGCCGCCTCCACCAAAACCACCACCAAAACCGCCTCCCCTAGGTCCTCCACGTCCTCGGGGGGCGCCGCCTCGGCCACCGCGAGGTGCACCACGTCCACCTCTGGCGCCTCCGCGAGCAAAACCACCTCTGGCACCGACAGCCTTCTTCGGTTTCGAACCTAGACAAAGTTAGAATAAGTATACGATAACTGGACGAGTCTAGCGGCATACCCGGCGGAGGCTTAGGCTTGGGAAGGAACCTATTATTGGACAGTTAGTCATGCAAACATGCAAATCAAAGCGATGAAGAACGCACTTCTCAAGCGGAAGAAGCTTGTCTCCTCCAATATAGACCTTGTCGCCAGGCTTGAAGGATGTCGCAACAATGCCCTCCTGAGGCTTGATAGTGAAGTAGACCTGGTTGATGGGACCGAGAACTTCGTCAACCTTGCCGATAGGAGTCTGAGGAAGAGAGTTAGTCATTAAGTTTGCGACAGGAGTTAGGATTGCGAGTCGGTCGTACTTTGTTCTCGAGGTAGATAGGGGCGTTGAAATAAGGAATCTTGGGATTCACTGATTCGCAAACCATCTCGCCCTCGCAAGCGTGCATGAAAGTTCCCATCTCTGACAAAGAATCAGTCATCCATCATCTCCCCCAAATGCACTCGCAAGTGTATAATTACCCAGAACCTGTGCTGGCGGTCCAGTTTGTGCTTGGAATCCTCCGCGGCCTGTCCGACGAAAATTTCGTTAGCGACCACCGATCCTCAACTTTGGCACTATTCGAACTCACCACCGCGTCCACCAAAATTTCCACCACGATTGGCGCCTGAGGCGAAACCGCCACGGCCACCTCCACGAAACGACATCTTGATTGTGGTGTTGCGATTGATGGAGCTGTCTGGAGTTCGGAGTCCGGAGAAGTTTTCAAATGGTGGGAGCCTCGAAACGGTAAAGTGTCGCTAGCCGCCAGGGCAGTTTAATGTCACGTGCTTCACCGCCTTCCTTCCCCTCACCGTTTTCGAATTATTATGACTCTTCGCATAGGCCGAAGAAGAGTCATCGTTCTGAGCTTGCCCCCCTCTTATCGTGCGCGCCTCCCGAACCGCTGGTCTGAACTTGCGGATACAGCCATGGCTTTTGAAGAGTCGAAAGAATTGCCAGTGCGGCCTGCAGAGGCCCAGGATGCCAATGCCACTGCCCCGCCAAAGGCTGCGAAAGCTAATGCGGCCTCGAATACCGACTCTCTCCCCGATTTCATAATTGAACGGAACAAGCTATTTGAAGAATTGTGGCAACAGTATCTTGAAGAGCTCAAGAGCAAGCCTCACCCGGAAATCAATGTCCTTCTCGATCTCGGCAACGGGAGCCCCTCTCCTGTCCCCGCCAAAGCCTGGGAGACCACACCCGGATCGTTTTTGAGAGACGTCCCCAAGGATATCAGCGCCAATGTCGTCCTCGCGAAAATCGATGGCAAGGAACTTTGGGATCTGAATCGCCCTCTGGAGCGCGACTGCACCGTCTCTTATGTTCCGTTCGACAGCCCCGAAGGTCGGGAAGTTTTCTGGCACTCGAGCGCGCACTGCCTGGGTGAGGCATGCGAGTGCGAATATGGATGCCTACTCTCCCATGGACCTCCCACCCCTCAAGGTTTCTTCTACGATATGGCCATGCCTGACAAGTCAGTTTGCCACTCCTACGTTTCCTTACGTGTGCCTTGTGATGGAATAAGAGTCTGACTTTAGAGAATAGCCGTGTTGTACGAGAGAGTGACTGGCCGGCCTTGGATAGCAGAGCGTCGCGGATCTTCAAGGAAAAGCAAAGCTTCGACCGGTTGGAGGTGACGAAGGAAAACCTCAAGAAAATGTTTGCCTACAGCAAATATAAATTGCACTACATTGACAAGCTTGTGACCGGAGAAAAGAGTACGGTTTATAGATGCGGTACCCTGGTCGACCTTTGCAGAGGTCCTCACATCCAGAACACTGGAAAGATCAAGACCTTCAAGATTATGCAGGTATGAACACGATCCTACGGAAGCCGTTTTGCCAAGTCCATCGCTGATTGCTATGTCCAGAACTCTTCCGCATACTTCCTCGGTGATCAGACGAACGACTCTCTGCAACGTATCCGTGGTGTTGCTTTCCCCGATAAGAAGCAGATGCAGGAACATCTGAAGTTCTTGGAGGAGGCAGAGAAGCGCAATCATTTGAGAATTGGCAAGGACCAGGAGCTTTTCTTCTTCGATGAAGTTTCTCCAGGCTGTCCTTTCCTCCTCCCCAACGGAACTAAGATTTTTAATGCTCTCCAGGGTCTTCTGCGGTCTGAGTACCGCAAGCGCGGCTACCAGGAGGTTCAGACGCCCAACATGTACGACGTCGGCATCTGGAAGACATCTGGTCACTGGGCGCATTACAAGGATGATATGTTCAAGCTTGACGTGGAGAAGAGAGAATGGGCTCTTAAGCCCATGAACTGCCCAGGCCATTTCGTGCTCTTCGGCCACCGCGAGAGGAGTTACAGAGAACTCCCGCTGAGAATTGCAGACTTTGGTGTTCTGCACCGTAACGAAGCATCCGGTGCATTGAGCGGATTGACCCGTGTGCGGAAGTTCCAGCAAGACGATACCCACATCTTCTGTACCCAGGATCAGGTGAGGAGGGATCTTACGCTATCTTTTATGTCTTATTGTCAACTAACTCCTTGCAGATTTCCTCCGAGATCGAGGGTCTCTTTGATTTTCTCCAGTCCATCTACGGACTGTTCGGCTTTACATTCAAGCTGAAGCTTTCCACTCGCCCAGAGAAGTATCTCGGTGACCTCGAGACCTGGAACTATGCCGAGGAGCAGCTCAAGTCTGCGATGACCAAGTTCAAGGGCAAAGACTGGACGATTGACGAAGGCGATGGTGCATTCTATGGTCCTAAGATCGACATTACCATTGCTGATGCTCTCAAGAGAGAGTTCCAATGTGCTACTATCCAGCTGGACTACCAGGCGCCAATCAACTTCAAGCTCGAGTACATGACCAACGAGAAGGGCCAGGCTGTTATGGAAGAGTCGAAGAAGGAAGGCGAGACCAAGTCCAACGAACCTGGTCCAGGTCGGGCGCGCCCCGTCGTCATCCACAGAGCTATCATTGGTAGCTTTGAGCGTTTCTTGGGTATCTTGATTGAGCACTTTGCCGGCAAGTGGCCGTTCTGGATCAGCCCTCGTCAGATCCTGATTGTCCCCGTCATGCCTGCTGTGAACGACTATGTTGAGGAGCTGCAGCAAATCCTGCGTGGCGATAAATTGAACGTGGACATTGACATTAGTGGTAACACTATGCAGAAGAAGATCCGTACTGGTCAGCTGGCGCAGTACAACTTCATCTTTGGTAAGTCTTATCGCGAACCCTGATCTCTTTCTTTGAATGGTATTGACATTGGGTAGTTGTCGGCGCTCAAGAAAAGGAGTCCCGCTCTGTCAACATCCGTAACCGTGACGACCCTGCTACACAGAACAAGGGCGTCATGGTTCCTCTTGAAGAGGCTCGCCAGAAGCTCCGCGCTCTGAGAAAGGAGCGCAGACTGGTGAATGCTCTGTAGAGCGATCCGATACTGGTATCTAGCGTTTATTGTGTGGCGTATCCCGAGGGCCGCTATTTTTACGGCCAGCGGTCTCGCGTAGAAGTTTATGACTTATGTAGGCATTGATTTGCCTCTCTCACAGAAAAGTAGACCTGGAGTATTTAGCGATGAAGACACGAAGAGAGTTCTGATCTAGAAACAATTCTCTGATTCTGTATTATGGATAATCTATCTACCCTACTTTAGATACATGGAAGCAACCCGCATGAAACGGCTACATACCAACTGGTGGTCCCACCATGAGTATGGTGGGCCTATGAAATTTCGATCCCCCCTTAATCAAAGTGATGATAGTGACTGGTCAGTCTGCTCAAGGGTGGTCGCCATCAACGACTCCAGGTTGTATTTGCCAAGATCATCTCTGGGGTGGGCAGGGGGGAATTCACCCGATTTCCCTCTTACAAGAGGGGGATATGCATGTCACTATTTTGTGCATTTTGTGCTCCTTTTCCAGCGAGTCCTGACTTCGTTGCAAGCAGGCGATATCTAACTCGAACAGTCATGCTCGAATCATCATGCAGCGACTTCATCATTCGTTTCATCAATTGCGACATGCATCCCCATTGAAAATTTTCGTCCTTGCTGCCGCCTTCATCTTGGTGTCCGCCTCGCTCGTGTTCTACTCTAGACCTGCCAGTCCCTCTGATATTGACCTCGTCGCCTCGCTACCCTCCAGCAACAACGACATAGAAAACAAAGGAACTTGCTATGTCGACCTCGAGTTCTTGAGATCTCAGGGGTACAATTCCTCCGCGAAATACGCACGGCTCGAGATAGCCGTGAGGCGAACAGAAAACTTTACGGGATTCTCTGACACGTTGCCCACCCGTTTCCCCGCTTATCAAAAGATTCGTTTGGACACAATTGAGCAACAAGCACCGTTGTCCCCGCGGATATGCTCTCCCGCAGTGACCATTCAAGCTCCGTTACCGGTCGCACCACCCAACGCGTCCCACATTCTGTTCGGCGTCGCGACAACACTGCACAGACTAGATGATTCCCTGCCTGCATTCGCACACTGGGCGGGAGGAACGGACGCTCGCATATATGCTCTGGTGGACTCCGAAGCAAGCTCGGTAATAAGAAGGGTGCAGGAACGAGCCAACGAATTGGATATCCGTTTGACTATAATTCAATCGGATGATGACCGATTGGATCAGTACTTCTCTTTACTCCGGGTCATGCTCAAGCACCGCGATGCATCCACGCGGTGGGCTGTCTTGATTGACGATGACACCTTCTTTCCMTCTATGCGGAATCTGGTGGACAGACTCGCAACCTACGACGCGACGAAGCCACAGTATGTCGGGGCTGTGACGGAGGATCTCGCACAGATGTTCAGTTGGAGTTATATGGCCTTTGGAGGTGCTGGGATCTTCCTCTCAATACCACTCCTTGAGGAACTCAACAAGGTGTATGATGATTGCAACAGCATCAAAACCACCGGCGACCGAAGAGTCGCAAGGTGTATCTACACCTACACGCACACAAAACTCACCTGGGACCGCGACCTGTATCAGCTAGATCTCCGCGGGGATGCTTCTGGCTTCTACGAGTCCGGTCGTCCGCTGCCGCTGTCGGTCCATCACTGGAAATCATGGTTCCAAGCAGATATGGTTGGGCTCGGTCAGGTTGCGGCCATCTGCGGCGACGCTTGTCAGCTTCATCGGTGGCGCTTGAAGGACAACTGGTTCCTGGTGAACGGGTTCTCTATGATCAAGTATACTTCACCCGGGAATGTTGATCTGATGGAGAAGACCTGGGAGGATAGTAAATACAGAGGCGGGGACGGCTTCGCGTTCAGTCTGGGTCCATTTCGGCCAAAAGACGAAGGCAAGGTGTCCTTTCGCCTGCGGAACGCAACTCGGCAGGCAGGGTCTGTTCGACAGGTCTATATTCATGACTTGGGGCCTGAGAATCCTCCTGAAGTAGTGGAAGTAGTCTGGAAAACTGCATCTGGGTGAGGTTTCCTATTGTCAAAGTGCTTTTACAAAAACCATTGAATGTCTTGTCGGTACAGCATAGTCTGAGCGATTATTTAGCATTGAAGTCGAAATCATACTCGTTCTTTGTTCCAAAGCGACTTGGCAATGGCGGAGTTCTTTGATTACTTTCTCCCTCGCTATGTAGCGGATAATAAACTGTCGAATTGAGTTTGCCTTTTGTCTGTTCTAGACTTCAAGCCATATGATCAGGCTTGTCAGCGCTGTGATTCCTGGCTAAGCTTCGAGACAGAATAGCCATTCATTATGGATTATGGAGCCTTGCGAATCCCCACCACAGCCCCTCTCCTGTCTTGGATGGGCCTCAGGCAGCTATCCTTTGTTCTCGATATACCTCTCCTCTTTGACATCGAGTCCATTTTTTGTAGCATGGACTCGCCATAAATGCGGGTTTTCTTTCATTTTCTTTTGTATATATTTTTATCATTTTAGGATCATCTTGATTGAGTCTCCTTCCTTCCTCTACGACTGCGGCGGAGCCCTGTGATTATTATTGATTAAGTTGATGCACGTCCCGGCGCTCCAGCAGCTGCAGGCCCCAATCATTCCGTAATTAACTCCCCCGTCACATCCCAACTGCACAGCTTCACATCAAAACACATTCTATTTCTCCTTTCCCCCCTCCCTGCTCTCTTCCCTTTTCTCCTTCCCTACCCCTCATTCTCCTTTTGAACACCTTTCGTTTATCGTTTTGTCCTCATTCCGTCGCTCCGCCGAGGTTTCGATCTGTTACTGCGGCTGCACCTTGTACTGCGGGGCTCAAACTACTGACAGCTCCCTTTCCACCGAGTCTGTCTCAGTTGCACGGGATCTTTTTCCTCCTTAAATTCATTCAGAGATTTGAGCCGTGACTTTTGCTCCATTGAGATACCCGCTTCGTCTTCACTCTCGTTGGCACAGAAGCATTGCGATTCGAGTTCAACTCCGGCCACATACAACTCTCCTCTGTCGATTCCCCGCCCCGACTTTTCTCGTCAACCATACGCCGGTCGCTCCTGGATAAAAAAAGCTGTCGGATTTGAGCCATGTCTGATCTACAGGGTCGGAAGGTCTTCAAGGTCTTCAACCAAGACTTTATCGTGGATGAACGGTACAATGTGACCAAGGAGCTGGGCCAGGGTGCATACGGTATCGTATGGTAGGTTGTCTGCATTCTCAAGCGGTTATCTGTTTCTGCATCAGGCTCGAGAGGGGTGTATGGCAGAAAAGAAGTGACGCCAGAAGGGGTGGTGCAGCGGTTATGGATCTATGATTGAACCAAGTACTGACAACGATCATTTGACTGTAGTGCTGCCACAAATGTTCATACTGGTGAGGGCGTCGCCATCAAGAAGGTTACCAATGTCTTTAGCAAGAAAATTCTGGCCAAGCGGGCATTGAGAGAGATCAAGCTTCTCCAGCACTTCCGCGGCCACCGCAACGTACGCCAATTGTTTGTTTGTACTCGCAAGATCGGTAGGGCTGATCGGAACTGCAGATCACCTGTCTATACGACATGGACATTCCACGACCAGACAATTTCAACGAAACCTATCTATACGAGGGTGAGTGGCACGTCCGCTGTGGTGCATCAACAACCACTGATTAATTTCATGCAGAATTAATGGAATGTGATCTGGCCGCCATCATTCGTTCGGGACAGCCTCTGACCGACGCACACTTTCAATCTTTCATCTATCAGATTTTGTGTGGACTCAAATACATCCATTCCGCCAATGTCTTGCACCGAGATCTGAAGCCTGGTAACTTGCTGGTCAACGCGGACTGCGAGCTCAAGATCTGCGATTTCGGTCTGGCCCGTGGTTTCTCGATCGACCCCGAGGAGAACGCCGGCTACATGACTGAATATGTTGCGACCCGGTGGTACCGTGCTCCTGAGATTATGCTGAGCTTCCAGAGCTACACCAAAGCTAGTATGTCATAACTCGTTTCCATTGCGATTAGACCGCCGGTATGCTAACGATCGTAGTCGACGTGTGGTCTGTAGGATGCATCTTGGCAGAGCTGCTCGGCGGCCGTCCTTTCTTCAAAGGCCGGGACTACGTCGACCAGCTCAACCAGATCCTCCACTATCTGGGTACTCCCAATGAGGAGACTCTTAGCCGCATTGGATCTCCTCGTGCGCAGGAATACGTCCGTAACCTGCCGTTCATGCCCAAGATCCCCTTCCAGCGCTTGTTCCCCAACGCCAACCCCGACGCTCTCGATCTGCTGGACCGCATGCTGGCCTTTGATCCGGCGTCGCGTATTTCCGTTGAGGAAGCGCTGGAGCACCCGTACCTGCACATCTGGCACGACGCCTCCGACGAGCCCACCTGCCCAACGACCTTCGACTTCCACTTCGAGGTCGTCGACGACGTGCAGGAGATGCGCAAGATGATCTACGACGAAGTGGTGCGCTTCCGCAACCTCGTCCGGCAGCAGTCCCAGGCGCAGGCCGCCGCTGCCGCGGCGCAGCAACAACAGCAGATCGCTCAACAGACCAACGTTCCCATCCCTGACCACCAGCAGGGAGGCTGGAAGCAGGAGGAGCCCAAGCCTCAGGAGGTGCACGCCGCGGGCGGCCACGCGAACGATCTGGAATCGTCATTGCAGCGGGGGATGGATGTCCAATAGACGGTTACTGTCGTTGGAGGATGTCTCGGTCTTGTCGTCGATTGTTTGCTCGGTTCATAAACTTAGTATATTATCACTTCATCTATACCTCTTTGTTTAGGCACTACCACTGGACATCACCTAGCAGAACATGTAGTCATCCTGGTCTGGATGGAACTCAAATTATGCCCAGACCCTGTGGCAATGTTAATGCAGATGCATAACCAGATATTGTCTCCAAACTGAAAGTCCTGCTCAAGCTCACGTAAATACATGTACATGCACTAATCCTTCAATTCAACTCTATAAACAAAACAAATCCGTCAATCATTATCATCCAATCGTGTAAAACCAAGTACC